GTGGGTCTAATTGTGAGTTAAAAAGGTTAGAAAAGAGTGAAGCTAGACTTTACACACCTGGGAGGTGATATGAAGTGGGTGTAAAGATAACAATGACTGACACACGCTGTCCCTTACATCAATATTGTAGAACTACAATACCATCAAATAAACATGTCTCTTATCAAACGCGCGTTGTTCATTTTTTAACTAACAGTGATTTCTCAACTTGATTGAAGTTATAAATATTGTCAATAATATCTGTCGGTGTTACTTTAAATTGTCTGCCTGCTGTCAGTCTGCTTGATTGTAGTTTCAGAAAGGGCACTAAAAGATGCTATAGTCAGCGAGGCCATGCTAGAAAACTGCACACCTTTCTCTGTAAATTTGTCAAGTGCCATTAAAACCACATTTCTTCCACAACCTCTTAAGGTTTCCTCACCTCCAACTCATTGGAGAAACCTGCAAGGAGTGATAGTGATTAATATCCTAAACGTCATTTCATTGGTCAGTCTTTCAATTATGACATCAAGTAACAGGAAAGTATTCCAAAGAAAAGCATGGTTTTCAAAATATGATATCTAAACGTTGTGAGAGAAAATGGCCCCAAACTCATGGTGTTTGATTATAATGTTTATGTAACTCGAGTTGGTTATTTTTTCAAATTGTAACCGACTCGATAAACCTTGTGTCTTTATACAATTTGAAAATTAACTAACTCAAGTTGGATAAACATGATAACCAACCACCACTCGTTGAGGCACCTCTGTTTACCTGTTAACTCCTCTCTTTTTACGGAAAAATCCAGCACTGAGAAAGATCATATGTATTAAGGAGGAAAAGGACTTAACACCATTTCAATACTTTACGTATAATTGTTTTACTAATAATATGTAAAAAAATATATATATCTGTATAACGCTTATATTTAACGCAGGTCTCTTTTTAGCTATATTCATGGCCTAACAATTACGCGTGGTTAAACGTTCTCTTTACCCTGCTAATTTAGAGTTCGTTATAAATGTAAAACTCTTGCATTGCCCTTTTAATAGCAAGGGTGCTATGTGAAATTTTAACACCTCGATTTCTTTTCTTGCAGAAACAAAACAGCAACAATTAACCAGCGAAATTGAAGCGTTATATAGCATACCCATTTTGAACCTTTCCATTGGTTTATGTAATGGGTGTGTTTATACTTCCGATATACATATACACATAACAACGAGTGTTCAAAACAGAAGATCATTTTATAACAATAGATGACATAAGATCATTTTATAACAATAGATGTCATTGTAACTATTGGCTGATCTCCCATACAAATACCTTAACAATAAATACAAGGTATAAAACAGAAATATAAACATGGCTATTATTTTCAGAATTATATTTTAATTAATATATGTTATATACGTAGAACAAAAGTAATCAATACATACAAATAAGGAGAACATGTATCTAAAACATTTCGGTAAGCTATGTGGGAAATCTTTAAAGATATGAATCCCTCGAAATAAAATGTTCTTTTGTGGTATCCATTAACCCGCAGCCTCAATGTAAACCTTATTCTTTATCGCAGTATATCACCTTTTACCTTACACAGGTTCTCGTTACTTGTACTCCGGTGTTATCTAGCACAGGTTCTCGTTACTTGCACTCCGGTGTTACCTTACACCGGTTCTCGTTACTTGTATTCCGGTGTTACCTTACACCGGTTCTCGTTACTTGTATTCCGGTGTTACCTTACAGAGGTTCTCGTTACTTGTGCTCGGGTGTTACCTTACACAGTTTCTCGTTACTTGTCCTCCGGTGTTCCCTTACCCAGGTTCTCGTTACTTGTAGTTCGGTGTTACCTTACACAGGTTCTCGTTACTTGTACTCCGGTGTTATCTTGCACAGGTTCTCGTTACTTGTACTTCGGTGTTACCTTACACAGGTTCTCGTTACTTATACTCCGGTGTTACCTTGCGCATGTTCTCGTTACTTGTACTCCGGTGTTACCTTACACAGGTTCTCGTTACTTGTACTCATGTGTTGTTTTCTAATGACGCCGTCTCATATACTCACTTGATTGATTATGGCGTATACAAAAAAACATTCTCCTTTAAAAAACTAAGTGGAAAAGTGTTACACCGGTGCTCAGAACCAATGTTTACATTATTTGCGCGATTTTGCGACTTATTTATATGATTGTAATTGAAGACAATTAAGTATAACTTTAGGTTAAATGGATGTAGGGAATTCGAGAACAACTCTCCATGAAACTTAACGGGCCGAAAATAAACATCACAAGAAAAATCGATTACTTTCAGTAGTTCTACTTCAGAACGAAAATAAGCACGTGCAACTACTTTGACGGGGTACAAATAATTGCAACGGCATTTCTAACACTAACTTTGTTTGAGAATAGGAGAATTTCTATACGCAAACTGCAGTAATACCTGTGGTTTATAAATTCTAGGTGACATGATACCATACCTCGGTTTAGATCAAACATTATCTGTATGGTAATATGATTTTTTTCATTGGGACGATATTTTATCACCAAGGCAACAGGTAACGTAATTGTAAAACATCAGTATGTTTTCTACTATTGTATTACACAACTCGTATCCATTCTCCATACATTCTTCTATAATATTATAATAAGATGAAGTAGCAGACTGATATTTGAGATAATTGAACGAGTTAGTAATAACATACAAATTATTAACTTCACAACCTTTGTAAGTATTCAATGTTCACAGTCATTAAATCTTTTTTTGTCTTTTATAAATTACAGAGATCGAAAGTACAGATATTTCAATAATATTGTAAACATTTTATTTCGCTGGTTCAATATTTCATTGATTTACCCACACATTTTAATGTTTTGCCGGAAGAAGTTTTCGAGGTTAGTATACTACAGAAATGTGTTTGTCCTCTGATATGAACAATATTTTCACTATATCTGTTTTTTTGCGTAAATTAAGAAAACAAAAAAAAAATAAAAAAAACCGCACATATACAAGATAGATTACAAACATGTGATTGATCAAAACGCAAATCAAATTGATATTTGTAATACACTTACCATAAACGTCTTAAAATAGACTAAAGTGTCATACATCACCAACGGTAAGATATCAAATACATACAGAGGATACGTCACAGAGTCTCAATAAAAAACAATTACGAGTATTGGAGAATGTTAAATAATTAAATAATCTATGTGAAATAAAACAATGTGGTCACATATTTAAGTAGACGAGAAAGATGAGAAAAGCAGCCATTTCTGCTGTTCATCCTGAATTATGACATACTATTCTTGTTATTTATGTAATAATAATTCTTTTCATATTTAATTACTTCCATTGTGACAATGGAAGTAATTAAATACGAAAAGAATTATTACACAGAATAACAGATACATTCTATAGTAAACTAGTTTTACATACAGATTCATTCGGTGCATACTGATATCATTTTACAACCATATATTGTATTAAGATGCAATACCATTCTATTTTGATCAGACATTATTCAATTTCCATGTAATGGTATTGTTTGTATCACTCCTTTCATCAAACGACAATGTACTGTGAAATCGGATATTTTCGTTGGGGCCAAATCACATGGATTCCCGAAAAATTCATGGATTACCCGTACCCACACAAACGGAGAATAACTTCGCCAAACTTGTAAATGTAGATGAAGATTACCCAAGAAAACAACGAAATTATAAACCCCACGAACATTTGTGATTTCACAGTATACAAGTTTCTTCGTTCATTCGTCAGTACATTTTTTTCTATAAGTGCTATAACATATTATTTCATTTGTACAGAATGTGTTCTTTATCAGAAACAAAATAATCGTACGAATATTCTAGTATTAACATACGAGGCGTCTAAGAGATCTCCACCCGAACCGCTAAAATGTACACATCACCACATTATTCGTCCTGTAGGTAACGAGGATAGATTAATGGAATTAAAACATACGAATTAGGAACGGTTGAAATTGTAGCACCAAGTATGACGTCAACTTTGATTCTTCAACATAAATAAAATATTACACACAAATATCTGTGTCTGTGTGAGAAGTACCTTACACACGGATACCACCGAGTATCAACCGAGATCGGTTTTGGAATAGGTTACGAGTATAGTAAAATGTTGGAAATCCACGAAGACTGATACTCTACTTTTCCGAACAGCTTGTTAGTAACCACTACGGCGAAAACCAATCACCTCGAATAATAGCCGCACTCCAGTAACTGCTTCCTTTTCGGTTTAAATAAGATATCAAGAATTAATATCATATAGGTTTATAAAACGTGCTTAAACACACATAAACAAAAAAGATTAAAAACGTGTCTTTAGAAAATACTTAAACATAATATCCTAGTTAACACATGCAAGCTATTATATTAACTTTGTTCGATTTGACCTTGGTATTTTCCATTTGACTAGTGTAGCATTTAACAGTAGCTCAATGTATCTTGGTATTGCCTTCCGGTACAGTTCATTCGTTACCAACAATTCGTATAATCATGAAACCCTAATTAAAACTTACAATGCAAGTAAAACAGGTTTTAAAAATGTAAAAAAAAAAAAAAATGTAATTTTCATTATGCTTTTAAAATGTTCTCTTGTGGTGACTTGCTCTTCTAGTCATCGTTTCTAAGTTGTCGAACGCATGGGATATTCAGAGAAAGCGTTTTTCTCCTGCTCACACAACTCAAACAACACAGGTGGAATATACAATGGTCTGGGGTGGATGTTGCGTTATCTGTGTTGTAGCATTTAAGTGAGGTGGCACTATAAATGATACCGTTGGAAGCACGATCCCACTACAAACAGAACACAATACATCTCCAGCACACACGCAGGCATACACACAAAAGGAGATATTAGCCAGGTGGTATAGGACTAGTAGTTAGCGTCTGATAAGGTATATGTTTATGTTAATTGTACTGATTGTATTAACTGTATATCTATGTTGTATATCTATGTTCTGTGCGCTTTAGAGTGGTTTATTCTAGCTACAGTAAATAGAGCGCTATATTAAATGTTATATATTTATTATTAATTTATTTAATCAAGTACCGATATTTTAGTGTATTCTTTGTTTGCTTAGTGACCAGTATTGCCTTCTTTGATATAAAAGTGCATTCATTGTCAAACTTGTTTTCAGTCCAACATTGACTGTTCTCTGAAACACCCTTGTATTTCAATTCCTCATGTGACCTTATCGGCTTAAAATGTCTTGATCATGTAGTCGCATTAAACAGGTGTAAGTGACCGCGTGTCGTGATCATTGTATGGTTGTTTAGGGGACTTTTCTGTTGAAAATTATATGAATCAAGTATTTCTTTTCACAAGGATCTGATAACTCTTCCTGTATATTGGTTGGCTTAAACGTTAGCTGTATATGTTGGTATGTTTTTGTGCATACCTTATATTTTGTTCAGATTGTTAATATAATATTTTGTTTGTTTTAAAACAATTGCACTCGTTTAAGATTCAAGTTCAATTTCCATATTCTACGAATGATGTTAAGAAACAAGTGTATGGATGTGTTGTACATCTGATGAACAGTGATTAACAGGTAAATAGCTGAGATACCTTTACTCGTTACCAAGCTCGATATAAAATAAAATGTCGGCACTACCTTAGATACTTTGAATGGAAGAGACGGTCATCACAATGAGGTTTTTTCTAATTGAAACCTTTCTAACTTGCACTATCGACTATCGAATCAACTAAGATTTGAATACTCCGGTTTGACGTTACGTCCACCAAACCATGATCGTTTCTATGATTGATATGTAATGCGGGAACTATTCTGGAGGGGGCGGCTTTTGGAACATAACAGCACAGGTGATGACGAGCGTCGCTAGGACGAACGCTGACAACAGTATGCGATCCACCACCTGCGCCACTTGTTGCCATTCCATTTTAATGACGTCTTTCCGGTCCTGAGTGACTAATCGTAATTCGTTCGTTTCAATTGTCTGGTACACTTTCTGTAAAACTTTATGAAAATGTGTTTCGAATGACTCGATGGTGGCGGACGCAGAAGAGCTGCCAGAACTACATTGCGCGGAAGGTGCTGGTAGCCTGGTCGGTAAAGGGGGTATAGGCGGTACGTTCGGAATAGTTCCGTTACTCTGCTTGGCCTCTTTGTCGGCATGTAGATCTATCTTTCTTGTTGGCGTCTGTTCCGACACTCCATGGTACCCCTACAATGATACGATATTTACTATAAAAGTACTTATTTTAGAGGGCTCCAAATTTTGCATATTATCGAATTTTATCACATTAACACATTGATGAATAGGTGCATTCACAGTATGCAATATGAAACTTACTATATACCGAAAGTTAAATTAGCTCAATCATAATTTAGAGCAATATTTAAAGTGCGAAAAGCGCTAAAATTAGATTACCGCTAAACTTTATATATTTACAGTATGTTATTTTATATGTTATTTACAAAAAAGGACCTTACATGAGTGTCAGTGTCATATTGAATTTAATAAACGAGTTTAATAATTTAATAAGACACTTGACGAGCCTTTAGGCGAGTGTCATATCAAATTATTGAACGAGATTAAAAAATTCAGTGTGACATGGATACGAATGCAAGATTCTATTTATCACGTAACTTTCATAATTTTAAAAGTAACTTCAAACACAATTATGTCAAAAACAAAGTACTCTGATCATAGTATTGTCTTTCCGCGCAGTGCAAATAGTTCCAGATTATATTTTGTTTATAAAGGAAAATTGGAAATGCAAGGAAATCATAATGACAAAATAGACATTTCGAATTCATTAAATAGCAAAAACATTAAATATTATCAGGAAAAAACATGTTCCCATGGTTTTGACCAATCGCAGCACCTTTAGGATTTATTACACACGTGTATATTTATGACATGGCTGTATGACACAGTTAAATGGGTCAGCCGTGTGTTAAAAAGATATACATCATAATACTTATATTATAATGTTTGTTTTTTCCCCACCGGACTGAAAGTTACAAACTCAAAAACGATAACTTTATATGTTTCCAATAAAATTGATAACGGAATTGTTATGAAATACACAACTCGCAGTATGAGATAGGAAAACAAACAAACCAGGAGTGGTCGCTGGATATCCGGGTCAGATGGGGGTCTATACTTGTGTTTGTTGGCCAGGTCAGGGTCACTGGTCAGGCGGCACTTGTGTCTGAGCAATTCTGGATGATCAGTAGCCATTCTAAGGTAAGACACATTCATTATTCATTTCGTACTCCAATTGTAGCTGTTAACTCGAGTGTACTAAAACATGCTGGGGATCTTACCATCGTCTGTATTGAAAGGAACATAGTTATCAAATTAAGATATGATCAAACCTATTTTATTTATGAACAAGTATTTTTCTTTTTCACATTTTATACCAGAAACATATTTCTCTTATGTCCACCGTGAAGAAATTGTGGAATGAAACTGAAAAGAAATTTTGGAATATAGATCTTGAGCAAAATATCACAGATAGAAGAACAATCTGCATGACTTACTCCATTTGGTTAGCGTCCATTTTGCTAAAGCTTGTATCTTACCTGTATGGCGAGTGCATGGTCATGTCTGGGGGTTCAGTAGATAGTCGATACTGCGGCCTGGTAGTGTCCGGTTCGCTGGTCATCTTGTAAGGTATATAGGCTGACCCGACACCATTACCGGGGTAATCGGAGGGAGTGAACTGTAAGAGAGATACTTACGCTTTAACGCAATAACTTTATGATATTTCTTTTATATACATGTACATTTGTAAACAAAAACAGTCAGGCTACCCACATTATCCTCTTTTTTGCTCAACTAAAATGAAGAGCCCGTACGCTTATGTTGTGTCGCGCGCTTTTTGAAAAGCTTCTTCTTTAGAACTGAAAGTTCAGGGACCATGCTGTTTCCTTTGATTGCTATAACGGGGCTAAATGTCAGTTAAGATTAGACTGCTATGTACTCACAATCTTTCCTTTCCTGTTAACATCGTTGTACTCAATGCGCATACAAAACAATTTGGCGAACACGCCAAAAAATATCTTCTTCACGGTTTCCGGTACTTCTCGTCCTCGATAACCTTTGTGGTGAATGTTCAAGGTCAGCACTGTCATACCAGTCGCCGTGGATACAATGAAAATTGTGATACCGTAATAAATCCCTGAAACAATAATGAAAAATGCATCATTATTGGTAGATAATTTCAGCAGTTTGTAATAAGCGTCGTGATTGGCTCACGAGCAGACACATGATCTTGAATAAACTAGCTTGTGTTATTTAGCATGAATCAATGGTAACATCGAGTTACGGTTAGCAATTTCCTGATCAGTGATTTTGCTTTAGTTTTATGGAATTTCGAATTAATTAAAGCTGGACTTTTTACATATTCATATTCAAACGGTTTAAATTGACCACTACACTGAACAGCCTCCCCTACAGTGCCTCATATACTACAACAGTATATACTACCCATTCACATATGAGGGAAATCTAGATTATTTACGAAGAACATCAAGTTAAAAGCTAACACCGATATCTCCCAAAGTAATAATTACCGAACCAAGACTACCTATTCAAACGGAAAGGAGAGTATTGCATTATGTTGTTACTCAATTTTACGACAGGATTTCAGGATTTCAGGATTTTAGTTTCACAATAGTGAAATAGCTAGCATACTACCCTCATATGTATATGGAGCGTTAGAAATGATCAACTATTTTTCTAGATTTTCAGTCTTTTCCAGATAGATGATTAAAAATTACTTTCAGTGCTTATCAATCTAACGAGCTTCATTGTATGTTGACGGAATTTTATAATTCAACTGATGAATGTCAACTCAACCATTTTAATATTGGAACCAATTTAAATGACGTCGTTATATCCGAATGACATAATTTTGATAAGGAAGAAGATGTGATGTTGCGATGTTTGAGAGAGAAAAAAACCATTGCTTTTTCACAGCAAAGTTCTCATAATTTCTTTAATAATAAGACTGCAGCTAACAGAGGTTTGAATATAAACGAACCAGGACGACGCGACAATGCTTCATCGATAATCTCGCGAGATGTCATTGAACTGTATATGTTCTTGTATTTGTTACGTACATGTGTATTTAAGGATTGACCTTCATTTTGACAGCGTATAACGGTAGTATGAACGCAGTTGGCAACGAACATATTCTATGGTGCGCATTAGCACTCCATAAAGAAAATGTTCGTTGCCAACTGCGTTCATACTACCGTACACGCCGTCAAAATGTAGGTCAGTCCTTTTATTTCCATTAAAAAAACACCGTTTAAATGCTACATTACGCAGAAAAAATGTCGAAGCGGGTTACCACGATGGTAACTGCGGTAGCCGTGGTTGCTATATGACAACATAGTTCCAGTGAATCTACATCAATATATAAGCAAATTTAGAAAATACGTAGTGAACAACACTACTTTTGTCCTTTCGTGATTTTTAAAATTTAAATTAAGCAATGTGAGAAGCCCTTCGAACTTTTCTATTCAATTACAACGGTCGACATGTATGCGCATTAACACACTGCTCATGAAGTGACGCGGTCAGAACGAAGCCGCCATGGTTGACGTTACCGCCAAAGAAATTTGAATGTGCATCCATGGAATAAGAAGTTTGTCAGCATTCTTTTGTTGTATACTTAGACATAATAGATCACGAATATGTTCTATGTACCTAGATGGTGAATGATCCAAGCATTGGTTGTCATTAGACTGAAGCGTGAACGGCGCCGTATTTGAAACAAGTATCAATCCGCCCAACCTTTTCACTGCGTATACGCTAATTTATACGCAGTCAGAGTTTACTTCGCTGAAGAAGGGTTGCATGTAAATATAACGTGATGTTTTCGTTTAACCATTTAAGCCTGATAGCTTGAATTTATTCTGATATAGTTTGAATGGTATAAGTATAACGTATCTGTTGTAGCATTGATTGTAAAAGTTGTAGCGTACTAATTGGTTTTATAGACACTCTCCCCCTATATCCATAAGTACATGTGCCACTGACCGTCATACGGTGCTGTAAAATGTTTTATCTTGTTTTCGGGATCTACAAATATATTTTTTTCAAATAAGAGCTTACTTTATTCGGTCTTTTTTGGTGATTGGTGAAAGTATATAAAAGTGTCTTTAATTCAGTAGACGATTGATTCGTTTTTACTGTTAAAATTGGTAATTACATAAAGACTGCATTTTTATCAAACAGAAATTCATTTAATGATTTATTTGAAAAGCATCAACGTTGACATCTAGAATATATTTGGACATTTAAGTGACGACTCCTTCTCTAAGCCCCAGGGTGACCTGTCTAAGTAAAATAATGTCAATCCTAGGCTAATATCATTACAACGCCGTACTTAACGCTGATCCGCTAACATCGTTACACCGCCATCCCGAAAGAGCTTTAAGTTCCCTTTTTAGCCTACGTTTCTTAACAAGATGATACAAAATGTCTCTTAATAACTTTTTTGTCGAGAGAAAGCTGTTGAAAAAAGGGGGGGGGGGGAATTATTAGAAGCACATTTCATTTGACAGTGTTTTGATTGAAGACTGCAGTAGTAAGTCAGCAGCATACATTATCTAAACAATGTGAAATGATTTTAGAACAACGACGGAAAGTAAATAAGTCTGGTCTGTATTGGTTAGGAAATAAATAGTATTCGCGGAAAAAAATATCTGCAGATTTTAAAATCTTTAGTAGTCCACATCCAACTTCGGGTTATAAGAGTCTGTGTTTTCTCTTAAACTGTAGGCAATATAACTTAATGTGTGAACCTAAACTAAAACAAATAAAAATGCTATGCTAAATTATAACGACTGTTGGATTATGAAATGTGTCTTTTCAACGATCATAGATTCAACAACTACGTTTAAATATTTATTCACAAACGTCCATAATTCACTTTGCTACACCATCTAAAGAAAAATAAGTCAGGCCGAATAGTCTTTTGTTTCCTGTAGACGGACGGAAATATGTATTAATATGAGCATAACAGTTTCGTACGAGTAGCAATTTTCATCTGTGATTGTTTCATTATTTTGCTAAATGTCTGTGATTGTTCCACTATTTTGCTATATGTCTGTGATTGTTCCACTATTTTGCTATATGTCTGTGATTGTTCCATTATTTTGCTATATGTCTGTGATTGTTCCACTATTTTGCTATATGTCTGTGATTGTTCCATTATTTTGCTATATGTCTGTGATTGTTCCACTATTTTGCTATATGTCTGTGATTGTTCCATTATTTTGCTATATGTCTGTGATTGTTCCATTATTTTGCTATATGTCTGTGATTGTTCCACTATTTTGCTATATGTCTGTGATTGTTCCATTATTTTGCTATATGTCTGTGATTGTTCCATTATTTTGCTATATGTCTGTGATTGTTCCACTATTTTGCTATATGTCTGTGATTGTTCCATTATTTTGCTATATGTCTGTGATTGTTCCATTATTTTGCTATATGTCTGTGATTGTTCCACTATTTTGCTATATGTCTGTGATTGTTCCATTATTTTGCTATATGTCTGTGATTGTTCCATTATTTTGCTATATGTCTGTGATTGTTCCACTATTTTGCTATATGTCTGTGATTGTTCCATTATTTTGCTATATGTCTGTGATTGTTCCATTATTTTGCTATATGTCTGTGATTGTTCCACTATTTTGCTATATGTCTGTGATTGTTCCATTATTTTGCTATATGTCTGTGATTGTTCCATTATTTTGCTATATGTCTGTGATTGTTCCACTATTTTGCTATATGTCTGTGATTGTTCCATTATTTTGCTATATGTCTGTGATTGTTCCATTATTTTGCTATATGTCTGTGATTGTTCCACTATTTTGCTATATGTCTGTGATTGTTCCATTATTTTGCTATATGTCTGTGATTGTTCCATTATTTTGCTATATGTCTGTGATTGTTCCACTATTTTGCTATATGTCTGTGATTGTTCCATTATTTTGCTATATGTCTGTGATTGTTCCATTATTTTGCTATATGTCTGTGATTGTTCCACTATTTTGCTATATGTCTGTGATTGTTCCATTATTTTGCTATATGTCTGTGATTGTTCCATTATTTTGCTATATGTCTGTGATTGTTCCACTATTTTGCTATATGTCTGTGATTGTTCCATTATTTTGCTATATGTCTGTGATTGTTCCATTATTTTGCTATATGTCTGTGATTGTTCCACTATTTTGCTATATGTCTGTGATTGTTCCATTATTTTGCTATATGTCTGTGATTGTTCCATTATTTTGCTATATGTCTGTGATTGTTCCACTATTTTGCTATATGTCTGTGATTGTTCCATTATTTTGCTATATGTCTGTGATTGTTCCATTATTTTGCTATATGTCTGTGATTGTTCCACTATTTTGCTATATGTCTGTGATTGTTCCATTATTTTGCTATATGTCTGTGATTGTTCCATTATTTTGCTATATGTCTGTGATTGTTCCACTATTTTGCTATATGTCTGTGATTGTTCCATTATTTTGCTATATGTCTGTGATTGTTCCATTATTTTGCTATATGTCTGTGATTGTTCCACTATTTTGCTATATGTCTGTGATTGTTCCATTATTTTGCTATATGTCTGTGATTGTTCCATTATTTTGCTATATGTCTGTGATTGTTCCACTATTTTGCTATATGTCTGTGATTGTTCCATTATTTTGCTATATGTCTGTGATTGTTCCATTATTTTGCTATATGTCTGTGATTGTTCCACTATTTTGCTATATGTCTGTGATTGTTCCATTATTTTGCTATATGTCTGTGATTGTTCCATTATTTTGCTATATGTCTGTGATTGTTCCACTATTTTGCTATATGTCTGTGATTGTTCCATTATTTTGCTATATGTCTGTGATTGTTCCATTATTTTGCTATATGTCTGTGATTGTTCCACTATTTTGCTATATGTCTGTGATTGTTCCATTATTTTGCTATATGTCTGTGATTGTTCCATTATTTTGCTATATGTCTGTGATTGTTCCACTATTTTGCTATATGTCTGTGATTGTTCCATTATTTTGCTATATGTCTGTGATTGTTCCATTATTTTGCTATATGTCTGTGATTGTTCCACTATTTTGCTATATGTCTGTGATTGTTTCACTATTTTGCTATATGTCTGTGATTGTTTCACTATTTTGCTATATGTCTGTGATTGTTTCACTATTTTGCTATATGTCTGTGATTGTTTCACTATTTTGCTATATGTCTGTGATTGTTTCACTATTTTGCTATATGTCTGTGATTGTTTCACTATTTTGCTATATGTCTGTGATTGTTTCACTATTTTGCTATATGTCTGTGATTGTTTCACTATTTTGCTATATGTCTGTGATTGTTTCACTATTTTGCTATATGTCTGTGATTGTTTCACTATTTTGCTATATGTCTGTGATTGTTTCACTATTTTGCTATATGTCTGTGATTGTTTCACTATTTTGCTATATGTCTGTGATTGTTTCATTTTTGTGCCATGGTAAAGGAGCAGATTCACTTGACAATTTGACAAATGTTACTGTCTGTATTGTCGTTATTGTTTCTCTGCTTGTTAAGATCATGTTTGCGAGAAACTTGGTTTAATGCATTTAAGGTTGAACAGGAATGTTTGTGGGAACATGATCGTGCTTTCTATTGTTCCCGTTTTTGTCATGCGGCTAGCTCTAATGGGAAATAATTCGGTGTGTTACGTCAACATTTGAATTTGATGTAACAATATAATTAGTTTTCGATTACTTTTACAGTACGAAGGAGACAGATCTGGAAAGTTTTTGATCGGAAAACATTCACGTGTTGTAGTGCTTTGATGTTTTACATTGGTATACTTGTATTATATCTAGAGGATGTACAACATATATGTAATATGTAAGTATGAGAGTAAAGTCGATGCTTATATCGTGTTTGTTTATAGACCTTCCTTTTCGCCATTATTATGGCTATAAAGGGCTTATTGAAACACAAATTATAATCGTCGGTCGTGGAATACATCGTGGAATACATCGTTGAATACATCGTGGAATACATCGTTGAATACATCGTGGAATACATCGTTGAATACATACCCAGTAAAGGAAGGACGTTTGAGGTTGGAGGCATGTTCTCCGCTACTAACATCATAAACACCGTCATAGAAAGGAGTGTCGTTATTCCCATGGTAACCTTCTCCCCGGAGTCGGACGGGACGTAAAATCCCAACAACGCCACCAGTGTGATAAGGATACACGGCATCACCATATTAAATATATAAAACAATGGCCGACGCCGGATGTGGATATAAAACGTTATATCCGGGTAGGGTTCAGTACAACACGAATAATACACGACTTTACGTGCAACATAGAGTTTCTGTAAATCCCACTCGCTGTTTTGAATGTAGTTTGAGATGTCCCCTTCATGTGTTATCAGAACGAGGTTGACCTGAAATCCATCGTACGTCCATGACGCAAACTGCATCGAACAGTTCTGTTCGTCAAAAGGAAAATATCTTACATTGATGGAGCACGAGCTCTTAAAGATGACCATGGATAGCCAGGTGATATTACCGTCGTTGGTTACGATGATATTGGAGCTGATTGAGGAGAAATACGTGGACACGTCAGCACTATGAACAAAAAGGACAATATTATATTTATTTTACTGATACGGATTTGAAGCACTGCTTCAATACATTTTCACATCATAATTCACATTATGATATATAATTACATGTGCTGTTTCAATTTCACGAGTTTTATATTAACTGGTAATGATTGTCTTAATCATTAATGTCATACGTTATTCTTTATCAGTAAATCGAGAGTATTAAAGTACAAACATTGTAGGTAAATGATAAGAAATGTAAGGCTAGTAGTATTGCTTACTTGTTGTAGAGAAAGATATCGGGCCGCCATACACTATCGTAAGGAAGACGTGCAACCTTGATTCCACCGTACTCATCCGGGTTCCACCGCAGACTGTAGTCTATCCACATCTGGAGAGAAAGATATGGCTATTATCAAATCTATTATAATACATATGGATCGGAAGAATCTGTTTAGACCATAATGACCTATGATGATGAGAGTATCGTAATTGAGTCTATCAAAAAACACGTTTAGAAGAGACGATCCTGTGTAATCCATATTGATCTGTAGTATATCTATGTCTGGTGATAAAGGTATTGTTATCAAATCTATTAACACACATATGAGTGGGAATAATATATGTTTACTATAACATTAAATATCAACATTTGAGGATAAAGGTATCGTTATTTAATTCATTAAAACACATATAGACGGGAATAATCTGCGTACACTATAATGACCTATAATATCAACATTTGAGGATAAAGATATCGTTATTTGAACTATTAAAACTTCTGGAGATAACACATATGGATACAGCAAATTTTGATATTCGTGACACCATCTTTTTACAGGTTCTCATTTGTCTACAAATATTGGCGGGATGACTTTGCCGGGAGAACAAGGTCATTGTTTTATTGTTTTAGTAAAAAATCATATTTTATGAAACAACTCAGTTGCTTTTTCTTCCATACAGTAGTTTGTGATTTCTGGATGAACTAAAGTATTACAGATATATGTGCAATTGTATGGCCAAATCAAAGCAAACCATATTACCATACATTTTATCTGAAGGAGACGATCAAAATGGAACCAAAATTTTCTCTAGACAGCCAAATTATGGAGAGCAAAAAAAAGCATACTGAAGTTATCTAGGCAACCCCTGTTGTCCAGACTACAACGACAGCTAGCTATGATGAATAACCGACAATCGCTCAGAAATAAAGATGCTTCGTTCATCTTATCACTTAATCAAACAAATGTGTTCAATACTGAGCTAATTAATCATTCTTTGGTTTTACGGTTATTGACATTTCGGACAGTGTCATTGGTATCTGGTATAGGAAGAGCTGACCTTTGTTAACAAATAGCCGTGACATTTAGACCCATTGATCACTTCCAGAACACAAACGAGGGTCTTTGGTTTGAAATGGTACACATCCATTGGGATCCCTCTGGGGAATTGTGCACTCAAGTAACCATTAAAGATGTATATTCACCGTTAGTTTAAACGCCTTTCAGCCTGTCAGACAATTCTATTTTAAATCTCATGATAGCTGACAATTTACAATAGCAAAACGGAACTTCTCGTACTTTGTGTTACAACAAACAGGGAATGTGGAGCAAATTGCTTCATGTTAGTCACATTTTAGTTTGATGTCGAAAAAAACTGGCAAATCAATGTCATTCGGACCGTAGGGAGTTTAATGATACTGGAGAAGCAATTTCATTGGGGTTTTTTAAATTGTGCCTTTTCCTGGTTTTTTCCCCACAAAACGAGAATAAGATTATTTTAGAAATCACTGGTGTCTAATAATAACGTCTAAATAATTTTCTAGGAACTATAAGAAATACACTTGTTTTATAATAAAGGTCTCACGTCTGAAACCAGTAAAGCGATTTCGTAACGAAAACACTATGGGCCCTTTTGAAAATGGGATCATTCCATGAAATGTATTGGTCAGAAATACAGAGAAACTTGAAGGATGAATAAAAAAGTTTATACTTTTATCATATTAAACTGCAAAATCTTACACAAAATCATATTTTCAGATTGAAAGTTCCACCTGATATTCATCATGAGTTACAAAATGAATTCATCTCATTAAAAGGCACGAAGGGTTTAAATAGTTCTGGTTATAACGTACGTAATTATATTCTGGGCCAGTAACCGCTGGTTCAATAAATATGAAATAAACATCTTGTTACCATTTTGATCGAAAATAAATAATCTGAGTGTTTCTCCTTCAATTTGATATGCTACAACGGCAATCTTGTCGTTTTATTTGATAACAAAACGCAGATGCCTCATTAATCATCGTTTAACTTTTACGTTAATGTTTTCAAATTAACTTAAACGTTTTATTTAAATTTATTTCAAATGACAATAATGAACAAATGTGATTAAATCAAATCGAAACAAACGCTTAAACAGTAAACATGTCAAGGTCAATATAAACACAATGGTTTCATATGAGTCATCGCTGAACTAGATTCAGTATTGTTTTATGATTCAGTAGTATCTCTTACATTTAAGTCTTCCACGTGAGACCTGCTAAGCATTAATCTACCTTGAATTTCTGAGAAAACAGCAAATATTGTGGTAGCTTATTTTTTGTCCAACCATCGACAATGCGCAATCTAATTTTGTTGCTGAAGGTGTAGTGAGGAGCAGTCAGGTTCAATTTTCTTCAGAATCGTTTCATCGCAACGTTAAAAGGGGGCAATCATTAGTTGCCAGGATGTGTTGCTATAGTAACCATCACCGTGTGTGGTCGTGGTTGCAACCATTAGTTTTTATGATGTACAACCATTAGTTTTCATGATGTGTTGTCATGATGACAACCCTAATTAGTTGCCGTGTGCCGTCATGGTTACAACCATTAGTTGTCATGGAAGTGGAGCTAGGTGATATCACTGGATAAGAATCCCTGTTTGGAATGATTTTATGTGACACAAACCGTTCACTATATTTGGTTTATTCAAGCACTATGTCCATAGTTGATACCTCCACCGATTGAAAAGTACTTTGATAAATGGAACAAGGCATACTTTGTTTTTTATGGGATGATTTAAATGTGTTACAAGTTGTCGGACAAGTTCTGCTGTTATATGCAAAGACTTTCTACTGAATACAGGATGATATAAAGATAAAACGAATCAATAAAGAAAAACTGTCTTTGTAAACATAGAGCTACTCGATTCATTTGTTCCGGTTTTGAAAGTATATAGGAGTTATATTTTGAATTCCAATTTTGCGTTTGAGAAATATAATTCATCGAAAATCTACCATGACTTGTAGCAAAAAACCTAGTCTAGGCTTCCATATACATGTATCGATGATTTGCTGTCGTTAAATAAGAAATTTATTGACCACATCGATCGTGTGTACTCTCCAGGGCTTGAACTCAAGAACACCTCACCACTTACATGTTCAAGCATGGATTCTTTGCTCAACCAAACTTACCTGTAACTGGTTTAAGTCATGTAACACGATCAAAAATTATCTGTAAACATTTTACACGTTGTCCGACTTAAAGTCTCCAAAATTCGTCCAACTCATAGAGTAAATATGAAGTTTAATATATTTATCACCGGATCAAGAAACTGGGCTCAATCACAGAATCAGAGTTTGAGCATGAGAGCGGATTCATGAATACGGATCCTGGACGATTACTTATAAGCTTTCCTATCCTGAACTTTCCCCTTCTTGTTAGCAACATCCACGATGTTTAAACGTCGCAGTGCATTACTAAAGAGCTTTCTCCGAACATCATGACTTCCGTGATAGATGTCTGCTGACGAACACACTTACCACACAGGGTTTCCAAAGTTGCAGGTTTATGGAGACTGTTGTTTTTGTAAGAGAACTTAATGACAAAATGTTCTTGTCTTTTCAGATTCCTACTTTTTGGACTTTGGCTTAATTAACTCTACATCACTATGGCTATTTTATTGGTAATCAGATACAGGCTATCACTAACTTTGATCAGACATCTCTATATATTATTCTTTTGTATACGACTGAACGAGAAAACGAAAGAGTATGTTCGAGAGACAAGGAAAGCTTGTGTTTATGACAATGAGGACAACATATCAATCTTGATTTCTTCAGTGTCCCCAAATCAGATTTCAGACGAATATCACCGCAAGGGGTCGCTATTAGTCGCCTCGTATGATTAGATACAGCAGATTCAATCTACCCCGAACCTGCAGAGGTGCTCTATATTTGAGTAAGTTTAAACTAATATTTTTAACAAGTACACAAGTTTGTGTTTTGGTAAAAGGATATGCAATCCTTCCAGAAAAACTACAAGAATTTCATTCTTCACATTTTTACAGGAATACTAGAGACACACTACTGTACATACTTTCACAAAACAACGCTCATTTTTGTACTGGCATTCACGTTAACATACCTTTTAGTCAATTTTTTTTTCATGCATGGTAAAACTATTTTGCAGTTAGACGTTGGATGTTTTTCTATCATTCCATGAATTATTTTCTAACTAACAAAGTAAAGTCTGTATGCCACTGCTGTGTGTAATCGACAGATGCTTACAATGCAAACTGTATTTGTATACGGCAGTTATTGTTTATTAAATAAGATGATCAAATGAATAATTTCTTACCTGATTTAACCAACAGTTTGTAGTTAATATCTGGTTCTTTTCGTCCTGTAATTAGAAAATTTTGAAACAAATCAATGTCAGATTTTAAAACACCAATTACATACCTAGATAAATGATGGTTACATTTGTGCAAAACCTTTAACAAGTTTGAAATGACATTCTCAAGAATTATTCAGGATGGTGACGAAATTAGATTTGAATTTAAATTTCAAATTATGAAAATAATGAAATTTGCCAAATACAAATTTAATATTTCAATTGACAACTAAGAAATACACGCCACCGCCATGGTCAAAGCCGCCGCCACCGCCACCACCACCATGATTGTGCGTGCACATCTGAGGACCAGAGGGAATGCATCGAAACTTGATAAATGATCCATTCCCGTCCATCTAACGGAATTAAGATGGCAAGGACTATTTAAGGACGGTGCCGGACAATGGACGGACGACGGGCCACGACAGGCAGAAAGGCAATTGGGATAGAAAGAGAGGGAAACAACGGATAGGAGGATTGAACCCAGTTCTGTCCGAATGTCAACCTTTGTTCGGTTAGATATTTTGTATTGTGGAATAAGTGTAGGGCCGTTTTCATTTATCGCGGTCCAAACGGTTGAACCAGTTGGACACAGCTGTTCATTTATATAATAAGGTCGGACCCAGTAATCTGATGCTTCCAGGCGAGCATTGACCAAGTCTTGCAAAGCCTCCATAAACTGGTGCAGGTCCGTCAGGATTTTACCTGAAAATGTTACATTGACGAACAGGTCCTAGGTGTATGGAGGAATCCATGCTATTCCGTCACTTTAGACGTGTTCCTATAAGTTCGTTTTAGTGACTACTTTTTACATACAGTACCATCTAGCCTAAAGGAATGAGAGCGTTTAAGATGGATACAAGACCGTTAGGCTCAAACAATCAATCAATCATCGCAAACAAGTCAACTTGTTTTTGTATCAATGTGGAGAGACCAATAAGCTCAGTCTGTAACAGACTCGTGAACATATCGCAGATTCATGAGTTCGACCACAACGCTGTTAGAAAACGAACCCCATATCTAAATCGTGATATCGGTTTTGAATTGTCTGTTTTGAAACTGTACAGCAGAGTTTGTTTCATTTGGCGTCGAATTCCTGTTATCATTTCCTCAGTTTTTGTATCATTGTATCGATCCGTTTCATCCTTTGATTCGTGTTTAAATACATTACTCGCCATTACTCGCCATTACTCACACTGAATAGCTCCTTTATATTGTTCACGGATTTATTTGATTGGGTGTTTTTTTTATTCCGTGCTGAAAGATTTATGACTTCGCTGTTATTGACATTTTTCATTTAGCATCTCTTTCATTTCCTCCGATTATATTCGTATAATAAATCGCAAGAGCGTATAACCAAACGGCCTAATATTGTTATATCGTTGCTCGTTATACGATATGTAAAACGGGCTTTCAGCTGTTTTTCAAATGATTGACATTGACTCTTTTCAAAGTCAAATGGATCAAACGTGCGGAATACCTTATATAACTTCCTCTGAATAACAAAAGTGGTATTAGGCCTTTAGATTTCGGGGATAAAGTTCAATCAGATTTTTTCAGATGCATAAGATAAATAAAAATGACATGAAAGACGCCCTTTTCTATTCGTTGATACATTTGAGTGATAGCTTACGTAAATTGATATTTTATCAAAGTTCATCATCTTGATTTTAATGCATTCCGGCGCAACAGAAATGCTTGATATTGTGTCGGCATATCTACTTCCTTGTTACTAACTTACGCAAATCAAGTAATCTTTGCTAAAATGAGATATTGACTTATCACCAAATTATCTCGTGAATGAATTCAAGATTTAGTGAATATAGGTAAATACATGTAATACTGATCGACTAACACTCAACAACAGGAATAGGCAAAAATATCCGGAATACAGTTTTTTTTAATTAAGATCTTCTTTCCTACTTTTAGCCCTAAATCATTGTATAATATTAAGGTCCGTATAAATTTCAGTTATAGGTAACATTTAAGTGAGAAAATTCTTCTTACAATATAGCGTTATTTACCACGGTGAGGATATAAAACCTTTGCATGTAGCTGGTATTCCTATTGAAATGTATTGAGTTCATGTAGGCGTAATCATTCAGTAAGTCTTTTGTAAAACATGGTTATAAAAAATAACTTTGAGTTTGAGCATGTGAAAAGTTTGCCGAATTGAACAGATAACAAAACACATTTATTGGGATTTTAGAGTAAATTTGTCTGTGGCGGATTAAACATAGCATGACATGTTTTGCAGACATTTTCCCTGATCTCGAAACAGCACTCCAAAAACAGATGAACCAAGTGACACCAAGACCCATTAGCTGAACTAACCGTGACAAACACACATTCCCCAGCTAGTCTCAACATCAAAAGATCATTCTCTACCAACTGTCAAAGTGGGACTGATTAATAGTGGAAAACCCTTTGTCTTTAGGGTAATACTGCTATCCCATAACGTATATAACAGGATACTGTGAATTACTGACAATCATTTGTCTTGAATACCATTTACAATAGTATTCGTCTATAAGGAACATATGTTGTCCTCGACTGTCTAATGGAATGAAAACTGTGTATGGGGATTTAGCAGATATGAAGAGGACAGCATTTTACATCAAGGGAAATTTATTAAAGTTGTACATCATAGTAATATCCTTGAGGATATATGTCAAATATCTACTTACGAGATAAATAACATCTTTGTTTCCAACAAATAGTGAATGGACAATGACAAAGCTGCATCATAGCGACAATTTGGTGTGGAGTAAAACCAACAAAAGGAAGAAAAATGTCCCCATACATTAGCTGGACAGTCTAATAACCATGCTGGAAATGACTGAATCACCTGACGATAAAGCGCCAACAGAAAATCAGCAACTGACACCAAAACAAAAGGAAAACACCATGAACCTCCACACATTGCGTCACTATATACCGATGAGAACACTAAATCCAGCCATTCTGAAACAAAACGGGCCCGGATACATTGTACATAGAATTACGGTCGCCTTCTAGCGTCGAGCTAGAGGGAATTTCCCTTTAGCCCAGTGATAGAGTATCCGACCAGGATCCCGGGGATCATGGGTTCGATCTCCGGTGGAAGCATACTATTATCTTTCCTGTTACACAGTTTTGACGGAAACTGTTGCATTACAGTCACGTCTGAAGTAAAGGAGTACTAAATAAATGAGATTTTAATCTGACGATGTCGTTATAACATAGAAGTGTCTGTACTGAATTTCGGACGTTCCTGCTTCATACATCTACAGTGACCTTGGTGCCAATGCGTTTATTGACTTTAGTCGTTTTCCGATCTAACGACATATATTGATCTTCAATGTTGTCAGTGCTGAAACACCAGTCTGTACCAGTGTAATACTTTAATAAGCAGCAACACAGAACATCTATTGATGCTTTTAAGGAATAAGGTGTCCAGTTCTTGACCTTGGTGGATGTTACGGTGTCGCTGGCTAATGGGTTTATTTTTATTATATCTACATTCTGTTGTTCAATGTTAACGCTACATTATATATAGACTATATTTATATAGAGTGACGTACAATAGGTCTTCCACGTGACGTCACTTTCCCATTAGATTCTATGTTGATTTACTTTCCAAAGATAATATTTTCTGGCTTCGCTTTTAGTAAAACATTGATGAAATAAGACACACAGATAATTGTCTAGCACTTCTATTGGTGATAATTTATATAATTACTCATTTCATATTTTTTTTACCATAATGATCGAGTTAATTGGACATACATTTTTACGGCAAACTTTAATATTGTGTACATGGGAAATCGTTAAAATATAAATGCTGCAGGGACGATATCCCATCAATAGAGGGACGATAATTATATCAATATTACCACAATAAACACCAAATAATTGTGTAACAGGATAACAAGATTTATTAAAACTGGACGTCAAACAAAGTTTCGAACATATTTTGAAAAAAATTGAATTAACATAGAATCCCATGAGAAATCGATGTAACAGGAAAGGTTTATGGCATGACAATGTACACGTATATAATATCAATATACGTTACTGTTTACTCATAAGCGATTCGTTTGATAAACATGCATACACATTGTATCAGGCAAGCTGCTGCAGAAATGTTATATTACGATGTTTTGACATGAAAGATATCAATTTTACAGTAAAAAAAAATCAAAACGGCACTTTTACCAAATACTGGTATAAGCGATCGTTTAGTCCGATCACATTGCATAAAAATATGTTTAAATCAACATGTTGTTCAGCAATTCATCTTTCTGTGTATATTGAAGTGGCGTATGTGGTATGGGGTAGAGACGATTTAGTGCCGTTGGTTTTTATCTGGGATATTATATCATCGAGAGTCACTTGCTTTCACCATATCAAAATAAAATGTTTAATTGGTTAATGAGATGACTTTTGTAGTTCAGATATTCTCTCTGTTTGAATACAAAGATTATTTGTGTTGTCGAATATTACTTAGATTCGTATCACTCTGAGGAAATGAACTGATACACCATTGAAATGGTACCAAACGAAGTTCTCCGATTGTAAATCATATCAAATCAAAACGTCTATCTGTGTGGAGGATTGATTTAAGAATTACAGTCGCGTTCTGACACTGTATACTTCGGAAAAGGAATGAATGGTATGTTAATTTTGAAGATATTCAATGATCTTTTGAACAATCTTGATAATACCTTTTCCGAAATTCTTTTATCTATTAAAACCTTTTTATTTTCCAACTGTATCTTCCATTTTTCATAACAAACTGAATGAACGCCTTGGTTTGTTTTTATTACTAGAGCTGTCTTTGCAAAGAAGGGGAATTAGCGGTACTAATATATATATTTGAGCATACTGTATGAAAATCACGATTAAGACAACAATGAAATATAGGTGAGAATGAATGAATTCCTCGCTGGCAATACCATTGTTGTGTTCGATGGCAAGATTTTCCAGCAAACCGTATGCATTCTCATTACCTGACCGACGTTTTTCGTTGGTTTTTTTTATATGACACTGAGTTTATTGAAGAGGTTCTCAAGCCTGGTAACAGACACCTTGCCCAGTCCTTCAATTTCCTTTAATAGTCGCCATTATGATCGCATTGGGAAATGTTTTATTTCCTCGTGCGAATTGAAGGTCGAGGCTTTTTTTATGAACTCATTAGTGTGCCTTGTTGTAGTTAACCTAGGCCCGTCCAGGAAACCTGAGCATATTCGTCTTTGTTAAACGCTTGCAGTGTATATGTAAATCTGATTTTAGTTCGACCTACGGTTTTACTGGCATTTCGTTATTTTTCTGGTTATTTTTAGCAAATCCAGTGAACAAACAGAACACTAGCACGGCTGTATATATAAAGGATTTCTTTCTTTTCCACACATGCAAATATCCTTTTAATTCAAACAATAATTTGAAAGCGTTACGACCTTAAACGAACGTGAGAGTTGAACGTGCTTTTAATGTTCAGAGTTTTTCATTTTCATTCTTCTATTTCGGAACACACATTGAAAACTAATAAAATATACATCGTTATGCAGTGAATACATTATTTATCTATCTATCTATCCCTGAGGGTCAATATATTCAATTCGCTACTATAGTTCTGTGAATATTTTCCTTTGGGTTATATTTATACGATAAGAAAATACTAATTGCATGTGAGATTAATACCTCCTGGAAGACTCAAATTTTCCTGGTCCGTTTTTAACGGTGTATTTAACATCATTGCATTGTAATGTCTGTTCGCCCCGAACAGGCGTGGATATATCAGGTGTGACTTTACGTGGATATATCAGGTGTGACTTTACGTGGATATATCAGGTGTGACTTTACGTGGATATATCAGGTGTGACTTTACGTGGATATATCAGGTGTGACTTTACGTGGATATATCAGGTGTGACTTTACGTGGATATATCAGGTGTGACTTTACGTGGATATATCAGGTGTGACTTTACGTGGATATATCAGGTGTGACTTTACGTGGATATATCAGGTGTGACTTTACGTGGATATATCAGGTGTGACTTTACGTGGATATATCAGGTGTGACTTTACGTGGATATATCAGGTGTGACTTTACGTGGATATATCAGGTGTGACTTTACGTGGATATATCAGGTGTGACTTTAAGTGGATATATCAGGTGTGACTTTACGTGGATATATCGGGTGTGACTTTACGTGGATATATCGGGTGTGATTTTACGTGGATATATCAGGTGAGACTTTACGTGGATATATCAGGTGAGACTTTACGAACGTGACCCTGATGTATCAACGTGCCTACCAAAGTGCCATGGCGTGAACAGAGATTGATGGCGAGACAGTGTATGTAAATGCTAATTCACTGGTTGATGGTTCATACACACTGAACTGCTTGGGGAATATATTGGTTTTACAGGCGACATTCACCGATTGATGTAAAAAAAATCATGTTTTGTTAGATGGAATATGAACTAATTCGGATCCATCACATTTAAAACATTTTTATGTAAACTTTGGATGATTTAGTGTAACAACACATTGCAACATGTCAACATTTAACATTTAAAATAAGTCATTGTGACATCATAAGTAACTACGCAATGACGTCATGTATTAATACAGAAAAGAAAACATGGCGTTATATCAAGTACCTTACCTTTGGCACCATGTGGTGTTCTACATAACTAATATTTATACAGATATATAAAAACATAAATGACATGTTTCACTTGAGATGTGATTGCATATTTAATGAATGAACAGGTCGACCTTCAGGTGAGCAAGGCTCGACTCCTTGCGTCATAGGCGGCAAGTGTTTGAAACATGTTGAGAGGGTTTTAGACGATTTTTTAGATATTGGTAAAAGTGTCGCCTGCCTTGATACAATATAAGTGTTATCATGCGTTTCCTTTTTGAAATGAAAAGCAATATCGCGTAGACATATTCCGGATGTCGTCACTGTCCCCTACAAGTTTTGAGAAGCATTCTATATGTATATAATCTTACTAAAAATACTAAACATTACCACATCTATAAGATGTGTACTAGAACGCTTATAGAAAACATGTCTATTGCTCCTTTTCCTTTTTTTCAAACGATGTACTTTCGTGTCTCTCGATATATCGCCTAACCGCTTTATACATTTCGTTTGACAAATGGCGGCAATAAAACGAGGTGTTAAGTTAGCACTAATACGAAAATGTGACAAGATTTTACTGAAGAATTAAATATATCAAACGGTTCTTTTACTTTTGTGTTTTCTAGGAAAATGCTTTGTATGTATGTGTGGTTGATATAAATTATAAAAGTTTCTGTGATGTAAACATCCAGCGAACTCCCCTAGGGTAAACTTGCTCAGTCGAGACCTTAGGATATATCTCTCTCTGTGTATTAAACACATTTTATCAAATAGTTTTGTCTTACATCAATATATCCATGTCCTTGTTTCACAATCCGGAACACATTGTAAACTACCCGTAAGGTGAACACATATATCTGAATTAATACTGACGTTGTTTCCAGGTTTGATGCGGAATAAACGGCTGTGTGAACTATCTCTCTTTACTAATATGATTTTCCCTTCCTTAAGTGTAGGACACAGAAATCCCCCCGAGGAAATTCTTGACATCCCAACCCGAAGCTGCTGCAGTGACATTTAAGATTCTCTTCCCAGGGTAGACATTTATCTTCCTCTAGATAGGGAATGCTCCCCCCCATCTAACAAAAAAAGTACAAGTGTGCTTTAAAAGTTATATATTGTAGCATTGCTAGTAATGTCACAATTAGCTATATGTGATTATGAATTTAATTTTTTGGAAGAATGAAAAAGGAACCAAATGTATCCATATCCTAAGGTTATGTGGTAACAGTGACATACTCTCCACATAGGCAGTCATTTCTTTCTTTCATTTTCCTCAAATCAATAAAATAAAAATAGTTGATGTTCTTTCTATAGCCCTTTTTAACAGTGAAATACTGCAGCACTATGAAAATTGTCTACACAACATTGTAGTTGGGGAAAAATGACCGCTTAAAGTGATAAAAAGACATCAATGTTACATGGCAAAGAGTTTTTCAGTGTCAAAAAAATCTGCCGTTATGTCATTTTTATGTTTCTTTATATTCATAGAACTATTGAAGTATTCCCTAAGGAATTTCTAATAGCGGTGACTGTCCAATAGTCTGGGCATCGACCTTTTGCTGAACAGCCTACATTTGCCTTATTTGAAAGAAAAACACGATTAGGTACTTCTTGTCCCTAGTGAACTTTAGCATGTTTGCGTTCAGTAAGGTACTGATGTCTTTTAAACAAGCATTTGGAGTTTCCAATAATAAAACTGCGAAGAAACGCATCAAAGTAAGTTCAGTTGGGTGACTTATTTACGCTAATAATGGCCTATAAAATACAGAACGGTACAAACAAGCGAAACCTGACGTTTTGTTACTGACGTTTTGTAACCTGACGTTTTGTAACCTGACGTTTTGCTACCTGACGTTTTGTAACCTGACGTTTTGTTACCTGACGTTTTGTTACCTGACGTTTTGTAACCTGACGTTTTGTAACCTGACGTTTTCTTACCTGACGTTTTGTGACCTGACGTTTTGTAACCTGACGTTTTGTTACCTGACGTTTTGTTACCTGACGTTTTGTAACCTGACGTTTTGTTACCTGACGTTTTGTTACCTGACTTTTTTTAATGACGTTTTGTAACCTGACGTTTTGTTACCTGACGTTCTGTAACCTGACGTTTTGTTACCTGACGTTTTGTGACCTGACGTTTTGTAACCTGACGTTTTGTTACCTGACGTTTTTTACTGACTTTTGTAACCTGACGTTTTGTAACCTGACGTTTTGTAACCTGACGTTTTGTTACCTGACGTTCTGTAACCTGACGTTTTGTTACCTGACGTTTTGTAACCTGACGTTTTGTTACCTGACGTTTTTTACACGCCAATGTTTCACAAGGGTGTCATATGAGGAAAATGGCTAATACCGATCACGCATGCTTCATTATATCGGCTAGTTCTATCTTACAAGCAAACGATGTTGCGATGTTGACCAACATAGCATACACCAAGTTTAATTGGTTTTAATAAAATTGAGATGTTTGTGCTCTCAAATGATGTTTCTGAGTTGTGCTGTCTCTGATGTAAGGGAAAATGTGTTATTGACAATGGCCATAGATACATACTAACAATTGTATTGAGTTTTTATGAATTGTGAGTGGCTTATAATAATCTGGGCTGCGTATGTTTCGGCTGATAGTAAGTTATGAGATGATATAGATAAAATGGAAAAACTTAATATCAACAGACGTTTAAAGAACACCATGGAATAATGTTTATATAAGAATTGTTTTTAAAACTGCTTCATCTAGCCCGGCTTTTACCAAGAAAATACGCCAATACTATACATATGTGATGCAGTTTATCATAAATTATTCTGACTATGGCTTGACAGAAGGAAAAAATAATGATATCAGGATTTAATTGCGCCCGCTAGTAAGGGAATTTTAGAAATTCATACAAAATTTCATTTATATAATTTTATATCGAAAAAATATTTTTTGGAAACAACACACCTCAATCACGTTCCAAACTGCCTCAAACGGCAGTTCTCTCAGATATTCCTGGTCACATTATCAGAATAGTATAAGTCTTTATTTACATTTGCTCTGTATCCTTCCATAGTTTTGCATTGCGAAGGCAAATGTTGTTATGAGACTGTAACAACATTTGCTATTGTAACGTCATCAATCTCTATTGTGACGTCATATATTCCATTGTTGTCAACACTTGATTTGCTGTTCAAAAACTGTGAGAAATAACTAAATTAAGCATAAATAATGAATATTTTAACAAATATTGTAATTGTCCTATAACAACATTTGCTAAAATATGTATTGCTTAAATAATCCCTGAAATAAGATTTGACAAAAGAAGTATGATCAATCCAGGAAATGACTAAATAGAGCAAGATTGCATGAGAAAATATTTGAATACTCACCACGTCTATGATCTGGGAGAGGGCGAGGCCGAACGTGACATTGAGAGCTTGGGAGGCATTAAGGGAGGGACGAATTCTCTTGTCGTATGACCCAAGTAGCTTGTTTACCAGGCGGTACTCATTGATGTCAGCGTGGGTATACAGCACTGTAAGAAAGGCAAACTCGGATTAGTCAAAAGGCATCAACAAGTGCTGCAAACGTTCGCCCCGTCCAATTGGATTAATGGCACTAAAACATGTTTAGTATGTGTTAATTCGTCTGAGAGTCAAGTCTGCCTAGATTTACCTGTCAATAGAACACATGTTTAGTCGTTGCCGAATACTTGTACTACTATGTATTGCTATTAACAACTGTTTATGAAACAACCTGTTTATTCAAGAAAGCTTTCTAAACTTAAGAAGCTTCCATTTAAACGTTTCAAGGCTGATCGGAAACTTTTACTACTTTACCTAACGGCTGGTGGTTTACCAGACATATGTACCACTCTACCTTCCGACTGGAGGTGTACCAGACAAATGTATAACTCTACCCTACGACTGAAGGTTTACCAGACAGATTACCACTTTACCTTACGACTGGAGGTTTACCAGACAAATGTATAACTCTACCCTACGACTGAATGTTTACCAGACAGATTACCACTTTACCTTACGACTGTAGGTTTACCAGACAGATGTACCACTCTACCTTACGACTGAAGGTTTACCAGCCACATGTACCATTCTACCATACGACTGGAGGTTTACCAGACATATGTACCTCTCTACCTTACGACTGGAGGTTAACCAGACATATGTACTACTCTACCATACGACTGGAGGTTTACCAGACAGATGTTCCACTCTACCAGACGACTGGAGGTTTACCAGCCAGATGTACCACTCTACCATACAACTGTAGGTTTACCACACAGATGTACCACTCTACCTTACGACTGGAGGTTTACCAGACATATGTACCACTCTACCATACGACTGGAGGTTTACCAGACAGATGTACCACTCTACCAAACGACTGGAAGTTTACCAGACAGATGTACCACTCTACCTTACGACTGGAGGTTTACCAGACAGATGTACCACTCTACCTTACGACTGGAGATGTACCAGACAGATGTACCACTCTACCAAACGACTGGAAGTTTACCATACAGATGTACCACTCTACCTTACGACTGAAGGTTTACCAGACAGATGTACCACTCTACCATACGACTGGAGGTTCACCAGACAGATTACCACTCTACCATACGACTGGAGGTTTACCAGACAAATGAACAACTCTACCTTACGACTGGAGGTATACCAGACAGATGTACCACTCTACCTTACGACTGAAGGTTTACCAGACAGATGTACCACTCTACCTTACGACTGGAGGTTTACCAGACAGATGTACCACTCTACCAGACGACTGGAGGTTTACCAGACAGATGTACCACTCTTCCATACGACTGAAGGTTTACCAGACAGATGTACCACTCTACCATACGACTGGAGGTTTACCAGACAGATGTACCACTCGGCCATACGACTGGAGGTTTACCAGACAGATGTACCACTCTGCCGTACGACTGAAGGTTTACCAGACAGATGTACCACTCTACCATACGACTGGAGGTTTACCAGACAGATGTACCACTCTACCTTCCGACTGGAGGTATACCAGACAGATGTACCACTCTGCCATACGACTAAAGGTTTACCAGACAGATGTACCACTCTACCATACGACTGAAGGTTTACCAGACAGATTACCACTCTACCATACGACTGGAGGTTTACCAGACAGATTACCACTCTATCATACGACTGGAGGTGTACCAGACAGATTATCACTCTACCATACGACTGGAGGTTTACCAGACAGATGTACCACTCTACCATACGACTGGAGGTTTACCAGACAGAAGTATAACTCTACCTTACGACTGGAGGTTTACCAGACAGATGTACCACTCTACCTTACGACTGAAGGTTGACCAGACAGATGTACCACTCTACCATACGACTGGATGTTTACCAGACAGATGTACCACTCTACCTTACGACTGAAGGTTGACCAGACAGATGTACCACTCTACCATACGACTGAAGGTTTACCAGACAGATGTACCACTCTCCCATACGACTGGAGGTTTACCAGACAGATTACCACTCTTCCATACGACTGAAGGTTTACCAGACAGATGTACCCCTCTACCATACGACTGAAGGTTTACCAGACAGATGTACCCCTCTCCCATACGACTGAAGGTTTACCAGACAGATTACCACTCTACCATACGACTGGAGGTTTACCAGACAGATGTATAACTCTACCTTACGACTGGAGGTTTACCAGACAGATGTACCACTCTACCATACGACTGGAGGTTTACCAGACATATGTACCACTCTACCATAGGACTGGAGGTTTACACCTTACGACTGGAGGTTTACCAGACAGATGTACCGCTCTTCCATACGACTGGAGGTTTACCAGACAGATGTACTGCTCTACCATACGACTGGAGGTTTACCAGACAGATGTATAACTCTACCTTACGACTGGAGGTTTACCAGACATATGTACCACTCTACCATACGACTGGAGGTTTACCAGACATATGTACCACTCTACCATAGGACTGGAGGTTTACCAGACACATATACCACTCTACCATACGACTGGAGGTTTACCAGACAGATGTACTACTCTACCATACGACTGGAGGTTTACCAGACAGATGTACCACTCTACCTTTCGACTGGAGGTGTACCAGACAGATGTACCACTCTGCCATACGACTGGAGGTTTACCAGACAAATGTACCACTCTACCATACGACTGAAGGTTTACCAGACAGATGTACTACTCTACCATACGACTGGAGGTTTACCAGACAGATGTACCATTCTACCATAAGACTGGAGGTTTACCAGACAGATGTCCAGTACCACGGACAGTGTTCTCCACGGACAGTGTTCTGCTAGCTCATTACCAACGTTGTGTGACCAATACCCCTTTACAATACGAAATCAATAACATCTTACATAACGTCAAATCCCAATCCAGCCCCGCACACAACACTCATCCGGTAAATAAGGCCCACTGTTTTGTTTGCAACCGATCTTTTCCAAGACCTATAAATATAACAAAACAATAGTTCGTTTTGTACGTTGAATCGCATTGAATGCACCTTAAACTTTAACTATATCTTAAAAGTATATCTTAAAAATACCATTACGAAATATAGCTACTTTCCAAGTCGTCATGACTACTGCATTATATGCAAATAAGGTAACACAAAACAAGTTCCATACCTTTAGTAACATTAATGTCTGTTTGATCTCACGGCACCATTGTTATCAATATGAATACAGCAGCAGTAACGTCTGAGAGAACAACTGCAACAATGTTAGAATAATGTTGTTCTCTACTTACATCCAAAAATCTGGGAGACAGAGATATGCGAGTCAGAGATATGTGAGACAGAGATATGCTTTTGAGATCACAGAGCTTTGATCCTTCACGTCGGCTCCTATCTGCTCCATGGTCACAAGGGGTTTGGGATTTATGGAAACTGATAGCAGCAGTCTATACAGTGCTCAGAATGTATTCACATCGTCCAAAAACGATACATATGATTCTGATTTGTCTCCATGCACATATAAGGGGCTTCTGAATGATACGTTGGTGATGCTAGAGGCCAAATCGTTGGAAATGTAAATTGTCGAAACTCTTGTAGTAACAGAGGTGTAGTTGCGTAGTGGTAGATATATCAAATCAAAACTGCAATTAAGCTTATAAATAAAACAGAAGAGTTCTATCAACAATGACACATTCAAGGAGGATTAAAACAAGTACAATGCATATTAGCAAACCAGTGTAGCAATGAACGTGGCGATATCGAACTACATATTACGTGGCTCGGGAAACATATGAAACCTCAGAGCGCTATGTCGTTCCAGTTTGTGGCATAGATGGTGTTATAAATAGAGCTTAAGAGCAAGCTGTGTTTATTACTAACGGTTTGTCACATATGATGTCCGGCGTGTTTGTTGTCATTGTTTAGGGTAAGGTACTATTGATAACTAACAGCCACATAATTGTGTTGACTCTAGGGCTTACTTATATGTTTATAAAATGTGTAACGTGTAGATACTACAATGAGCATCATTAAAAGATTCCGAACATGGCAGTCATATAAAAACTAGTTTGTAAAATTGTCTGGGCTTCAAAACTATTCGTACTCTTCATATGAATACCGAAATATACATTTTCTATGATCAGAAAGGCATAACCGCCATTCAATTTATCTCCAATTTATTATTTGCACCTATATTGTAAGGATGTGCTATAATGGTAGCTCGGTAGCCGTGATCATTGAAGACCCACAGTCGAAATTGCTGTGTGCATTCAAGCGTGAGCTTTCGACCACTCATTCCCCTAGGACCACAAAGGTGTCGATAAAAGATAATGTCTGATAAGTTAGGCTGTTATTCCTCCGATGACACGATCGTTCTGTCATGTAGAACTTTCTCCAGCAAGGAAACAACATTTGTACTCATAGCAGCGTGATAAGTAATGCTCCTTGGGGCTTATATGTCTTTTACTGTAAACAACGTTATTATTACTGTATGGACACACACACTTTTTGAACGTGCAGTGTCATAATAAAAATCATTTGTAGCGTAGTTACCCGTGTTATTACTTATACAGAGGTTTATTTAGTAACGTTCAACAATATCGGTTGACGCCTTGAACACTATCTAATCACTTGGGTAACGAAGAAATGAAGCACCTTATTGAAAATGTTGTTAGCTGTATCAAACAGCTAAACACAGCAAACATTTACAGCACCAAAGGACTATTTTATCTTTGTTAGACTCGTCAGTAGGACTAATTTTCGAAAATATAGAAAACACATAATTATCTTCCGAATGATATGTAGATACACCGAAAAGGGAAAGATGCAAATAAAATCCAAATACAGATTCGCATTAAATACCTTCGCAAGCCCAAAGCTATGCGAATTAGAAAACACCCCTCATCCAAGTATCATCCCCTAGGATATGATGGATGAGAGGCATTCTGTGACCGAAAGCCTGAAGTTAAAGAGGTATCTACTCTCCACCCTTGATTGTGTATTTTATGAAGTTT